ACAAGAGATTCACATAAAACACGCGCATATATATATATATATATATATATATATATATATATATATATATATATATATATATTTAAAAATAAATTTATATTTCATATAAATATTTTAAATAATATATATTTATCTATTTAAAAATATATACATAAAAATTAAAACAAAGGAAAAAAAGAACAATTTTTAATTTTCGTCAGAAGTAAGAGTAGCGAGAAGCCACGAATCTGAGAACAACCATAACGAGAAATAAAACAGGAAAACGTTTGTCCCCTTACGACAGATTCACATAAAATGCGCGAATGCATAAATCTACCAACGATGAATATTCTCGAAAAGAAAAGAGAACAAAAGACAAAAAGAAAAAACAGAATAATTTTCGCCGGAAATAACGCGAGAAGCCACGTAGCCTGAGAGCAAGCATCGCTAGAATCAACATCAAGCTTTCCATGCACGAGCCGGCGTCGTATATTCTGCACAATTCAATTCTCCGAAACGGAGAATTGAATTCGCGGAACACCTTCGCAGCTGCTTAGAACCAAAAACAAGGGTGAGAAGAAACTCTAACAGGCCGGAATTGGAAGAGGCTTTTAGCGCCGGTATAGCGATGGTTCTTCTTCTCCGATGTTCTCCGGCGTGCGCGACACATCCGTGAAAACAGATTAGAACTTGTTGATGGTGTCGCGTCTGAACTTCGTTGGAAAACGTGCTAGGCCTGTTCTAATTGCCACCGTACACGGAAACCGTATACGTAGGGGCTACTAACACGAAGGAGAGCCGCGAAAAAGATAGCCGAAACGAAAGGCGTTCACATTGCGGAAACTTTTTCTCTTCCTCCTTCCTTTTCTTTTTTTCCTTTATCCGTTTTTTTTTGGACAGATGTTAGAAATATTTGGTAATTTTATTTAGAGAATATTTCTGATGAACGTTTAATCGGATTTATTTGATATGATTATTATTCTTATTATTATTTGATTGTCTTAATCAAATTTTTAATTGCTGAAACTTTTCAATTTCTTTCTCCTTCTCCGTTTTTCTTTTTTTTTTTTTTAGAGAAATGTTAGAAATGTTTGGTAATTTTATTTAGAGAATATTTCTGGTGAATGTTTGATTGAATTTATTTGATATATCATTTGATCGATCGTTCAATTTAGAAATATTTAGTAATGTAACATTTAATGAATATTTAATAACTTTATTTAGAAAAATTTAATTGAATTTGTTATTTGATATAACAACAACAATGATTGTTTGACTATTTGATATATTATTTGATGGATCGTTTAATATAGAAGTGAAATTATTGGTGGGAGCGTTTTGGCGCAATTGCAGTTAGAATCGAGTGCCGTTAAGATATTTAATAGAGAGATATTTAATTAAATATAGTTTGAACAATTTCCGTGAATTACACGCGAAAGGGGGCAAAGGTGAAAGGTAATTTTCATACTGACGACGGCAGGAATTCGCATTTTAGGAAATGTTATTTCCGTGTGTAGCTGCACACGTCACGGAGGCACTTCATTAAGTTGCAATCCGCTAACGTTGCGCGCAATGTGTTTCAGAAGCAGATGCTTTATGAGTTTACGACTTGTCAGACCGTTTGTAAAGAGCGCGGCGCGGAATTTATCCTGCACGTAGTCGTAAAACTTAAGGGAATGCTGAAACTGCCACTGGAAAATAGTTAGATAAACTTCATTGACAGAGAAATTCGAATTTATTTCCCTCCCTCTGAACATTCACTGACAAACTCTATAAATCTGATCAGAGAACAAATAATCGTGAAGATAGATTTATCTCAGGGACAGAGAGATGATCGAATCTTGTTTTATTCAAAACGTTTCCCCCCTAAAAAGTGGTCCGTGGTCGACGTATTTTTCTTTTTCTTCTTCTTCTTCTTCTTCTTCTTTTTTTTCTTTCCCCCTCCCCAAGAGGAATCACTCCGCCCGGGGGGAATCAATTTCCCCTCACGTCCTCGGCAAGTAGACGTCAAAGGGGAATTTCGATGAGTCGAATTGACAGTTTTACGATCCCCCTCCCGTTAAAGCTTCCTGTATTTCGCCTCGTCTCCGCTCGAGATCGCGAAAAGCTTTTCTCCGTCATCGTTCGAAACTCGTGACACGTTTACTCGCGGCCTCGATTCCCAACACTCCCAACAAGAATGGAAGAACGAACGAACGCACGCGCGAGTTGTTCCGACGCGGATAAATTATTTCGCCGACTGATCGAACTTTTTGAGAAAGAGGCCGGAAGCGTAAATCTTTCATATCGTTTTCGTTCGAGTTCTCCCTCGCTTTCATCTTTAATTTCATCTTCGGATCTGTTCTCTCTGGTTTCGATTTCGTCTCTAGTCGCTCCTCTTGCGAATGTTTTTCCTTTTTAATTTGATCTCGATTCAAGGTGAATTCGGATCGCAATTGTTCGCTTCGCATTCAACGGCGGGAGGGTAATTGACCAAAGCGTATTCGCCAAGAATATTTTCAACGGCGTTTTCTACTCACCATGCCTGGTTTTCGACGAATCGACGCGAAGGGTCCCCTCGCTTTGGATCTGATCCTTTCCATTTGTAACGCGACAAGTGTAGAACCCCACGTCGGAGACATCCAAGTTGGTGATCCTCAGACGGCTTCCGGCGATATTCTTCACGGCGTGCTCGTGCGTCTGTGAAGCAAAAATATTTCCCTTTTTTCTACTTTCTTGCTTATACGCTATATTCATTTTATATTAGAAATTTAATTTATATTGAATTAAACTGTTACATGTTAAATTTATATTATTTATACTACACTTTTTTTTTTGGTGAAAGTAGTGTAGAACGAGAATAGAAATTAAAGCAAAGCACTTTGTTGTACTATATTATATATAGAAGACGTTTCAAAGATTTGTACATTAAAGAAATTAACTTTTATTAATTAATAATAAAACGTGTATTTAATAATATTCTTTTCCAAGAGTACTTTGGAAAAATAAAGAAAACGTGTATTTAATATACGTGTATTTAATAATATTCCTTTCCAAGAGTACTTTGGAAAAATAAAATGAAGTTAACTGTACTTCTGCATCAGGAAAGATACTTGGAATAGATGTATTTAATAATATTCTTTTCCAAGAGTACTTTGGAAAAATAAAGAAAACGTGTATTTAATATACGTGTATTTATTTAAAATAAACAAAACGTGTATTTAATAATACTCTTTTCCAAGCGTACGTTGGAAAAATAAAGTGAAGTCAACTGTACTTCTGCATCAGGAAAGATACTTGGGATAGTCATAAACAAATATCAAACACATTTCTTTTAAAAAGTTGCGACAAACATCCCCTTTCACGGCGCGCCAAACAGATTTACGAAAGCAAATAGTTTCTGGCGATGCGTAGTACAAAGTGTTATTAATTCATACACGAATTAAAATGGAAAATGGAAAAATTCTGCTATTTTTTTCAATGAAAAAAAAAAATCTTCGTTAGAACGTGTACAGAATTTTCAATATCCGATATACGATATTAATGCGTTTTAAATGAACATTAGAATTGAAAACGGCGAATGACGCGAGAGTGCGCCACTTGTCAGTTGCTAACCACTATTTTATGAATATACACGATTAACAATCGCGATATGTAGCCAGTCTGAACAGTGTTAATCGTAAAAATGTTCAACATTCGAATATAATATATGTATACTTCTCACTAAAATTAGGGGATATTTCAAAATGAATACGATAAAAAAAAAAAGATAAGTCGTTTGCTTTTCTGATGTTCTTGTTTAATAAAAAAAAAAATAAAAAAAAAATAAATAAAACAAAATAAAATGCTTCATATTCATTTTGAAATATCTTCTAATTTTTGTCAGCAGTGTATATACCTGCATGTGTATCTTCTTGATGGTGATTTTCGGTCGTTTCTCCTCGAGGGGCGCCTCGTTCTTGTACCACTTGATCTTAATCGGTGGTGGATCGCCGACGACCTCGCATCGCATGTGTGCCACGCTACCGGCGTCCTTCGAAATGTTAGCCAAAGTGCGTACGAACTTGAGCGTGCCGCTTTTCGCCCCGGACGCAGCTTCCACGTCGGTTCTGCAAAACGAGAGAGAAGTTAGTTCATTTGTTCTCAATCTTTTCAATTCTCGATGAATAGAATCAGTTTAATTTTTCAATCTCTCGCCGATACAAAATTAGAAAGTAACGTAAATTAAAAAATCCTTGAATGTTGCAAAATACTGCACATTTGTCTCACGAGATGGAAATAGTATATAAAAGTGATAACGAGAGAGATTT